GACAACGGGTTTATCGGGTTCGGTATTGAAAATGGGGGACATTGTGAAAAATTTCTTAAAATTTCAGCTACTGAGTCAGATGAATTTTCAACTTCAACGTGAGTTTGAATGACATTCCAATTTAAAAATCTCATTAAATTTCTAATTATTTTTCGAATTGAAAATATGGCTTTGTTCTGGTGAATAATAATCGATTTTTCAATGAAAGCTTGAATTTTTGTGCTGATCGTAAAAAATTCAATATGACATATAATTAAATTCGTTACTGAAGAATTCTTAAAAATTCCCAGTGTAATTTTCCAACGGAGTATTCTGCGGGAAAATCATCGAGATTACCACTTCAACCAAATGACTGATAGTTCTGCATTATCCGCGTACAATTTTACTATAATTTTTAATTATTCACCCAAATTTATTCACGCAGATCGTGATACCATTAATGAATCGCCCGAAAAACATTAAGAACCCGGAGATTTTTCATTTCCCGGAGGACAATGGGAAAAGTGCGGAGGTCTGATTTCTGCAGTTAAAAAAATGTGGGAATTTATGGAAACACTGGATGTACAGCAGGGAGGAGACAGCATTTGGAAAATTTGGGCGGGTTTCGTGACCGGAATCCGTCACGATGAAATATGTATATCACAGTGGTACCGGTTCTGTTTTTTTTTCCGACTGAAGGGACAGTTTTGTTTCTTAAAAAGCAGTGGGAGCATATCTGGACGTTTAAAGGATCGAGTTTTTCAACTGCGATGATATCAAGCGAGGATAAATTCACGTGACAGATAAAAAAAAAGGGGGAACAGCCAGTGAGTGGAGGGAGAATAAAAAAAGAAAAATTGGGCAAGTATTACTGTCACGTAATGTATATGGGTGCTTGAAGGGGTTAAAGAGAACACGGTGGGGTTTGTTCTAGCGATGAGAGAGGCCAAAGTAAATGGAAACCGGGAAGTTTCCCAGAGAAAGATAGTGTCAGCGATCGTTTTGAGGACGTGGTACTTGATATTGTATATGGGCAATGTCTGTAGGATGCTTTTCCGAAAAGTTTTGTCTTCAGGAAATGGCTGTCGGGAGTACCACCAGTATCATAGATACTGAATGAAACAAAACTTGAGCAAACTGGGTCGTCAATTCCCTTTCCCCAAATCATTATAGAAAAAGTCCTTTTCCTTCCAAATTACGATAACAAGAATTTCCACTTACAAATAAAACTAATGACTCATATTCGGGCTATTCCACGTTGTAAACAAGTCTTCTCTCGAGTTATCTCTTTTATATTTCTCCAGCGCCATTTCGGGGGTCATCAAAAATTGTATTCGCGTAATAAAATCTGGAACAATATTATCAATGTTCTCTTTATGTATGTTTTCTTCTTTCTTTAATTAACAATTATTATTAATAATTTTTATTATTGAAACAATTAAATAATTGAAGAGATAGAAATTTGAGAAGATATTGGCAATAACTGATGATGTCAGGATAAATAAAGTGTAAAATGGAGGAGATTCAGTGATTTTTTTCGTGTATGTACAGTAATCAGGGCAAAAGTAATTGACAGAGGGTTAATTCACACTAGAATAAAGTGAATTCCAGTGGAAATAGTTGGGGCAGTGGTTAGACCGTACACGATCCACGGCAAAAAGACACATGCTCAGATGGCTCTTAAAAGCCCCATCATGAATCATTAACGGAAATAAAATAGTTTCACGCTTTTGGTGCAACTACAATTGTTGAATACAACCATTGTCCTGTAAATTCCTTTAATTAACGTACCTCATACAGCCCAATAGCAACGTGTGAATCTCTCTCATTCCCTAGGACACACCAAGTGCTGACATTTTCTCGTTTATTTCACGTTCACGCTGATGTTCATAGCTGTCCCGATAACGTTGACGATACTCGTAAAACAAGTTTCTTTTTTTATTTGTAAAAAGGGATAAAAATTGCAGACACTTTTTCCGTCAGAACCGCCAATTTTTTCTCGGGAATCTCCATTTTTTTTTTTTCTAATGTGTGATAAAAGGCTGGTTTGAGGAGCCGAGGGTTCTGAAAAATATTTTTATCACTTTGTTGTTGTTTTTTTTTTTCAGATAGTTACATAAATTGGATGAATAAAGAGAGCAATTGAGGGAAACAAGTTCTGGGCTTGGAGTCAACTCGGAATAAAGTCAGGATAGATAAGAGATGGTTGGATCACATCCAAACTACCTCGCTGAATTTTTTCGTCGCACTGGCCCTATTATTGTAACCCGGATGATTAACAAGATCAGTATTCTCATCGACGAGATCTCAACCACTGTGACCAAGCCAATTATCCGTCTTGTTCACTTTTCCACTCAACTTCTCGAAAAGCCAATGGGCTATACTACCACTAAAAACAGGCTATTAATCCCACACCAAGGGGTTGAAAGTACTTGCTGAGTTTTACTCTCATCGTGCCTCGGAGAGGGAGGGAGGGAGATCAAACGGATTTTCTTGACTTTGCTATCCTCTAACTAGAAAACTCATCTTAAAAAACATTACAATCTGCGTTAACGACCCCGACGGAATTAAACTTTCATCTTCTTAGGATTGGTGTTATTATCATTGCTAGAATTTCTCGAATTTCCGTAGACAATCTGCACTTGAAAAAATACAGATCAATCCAGTGGGATTTTTTTTTATTTATTTGTCCGAGGGTTGGCTCTCATTGAAGTGATTTTTTGAGATTATATTGAGGACGGGTGAGGCTTGATAAAAATAATTCTTTTATCAGGGTGCTGAGGGGGGCGAATACCGGGGAATATTACACACGACCCCAATTACATAACGGGGTACAAACCTCTGGAATTCGTCGAGCCAATACACGTGCTTTTGTTTCACCCAATCATTTTTTTACATCAAAGAAGATAAATCGAGGAACGTTTGGGGAGTCATCGATAAGCCTCGGTTATTCGAGAAAGGTGACGACGTGGAGGGGATTCTCCAGTGGCCTGTAGATCTTTAATCGATAAATCTCAGCTGCGGGGTTGTGCCGCACAAAATTGCCTGGGGATTCTCATCATTTTTTTTTTTTACGGTAAAAAATGGCGAAAATTTTTGCGGATCTCCCTCGATAATGGCGGAGCCAAGATATGCCCGGATAAAGGGCAATAAATATATATTTAACGGATTTATGTTAATTTTTGTCGTTGAGAATGAGGTATAGGCGTTTTTCCCAGGGATATGCAGGCGGAGGAGAAAATCGAATGAGAATTACCGGAAGAAAAACGTTAAAATTATCCATCAGTCTGATGATGGATACCTCACCACTTTGAACGATTGGAAAATTGTACTGAACAAAACATAAGAATAATTAAAATCCAACAATCATGTTTTTTTTTACTTTTCAAAAATAATAAATTGAAAATTACCCGCGAGATTTTATTCCTTCGGGTAAAATAACGCGATATTTTTGTATTTTTTTTCAGTGATTAATTAACTTAATGAAAAATTACTGAAAGTTCCAGATTTATTTTCTTCGAGTGTCGTAGAACTGCCGAAAAACGACTGGTTACTTCGGATTACGTATACTGTTCAGTAATTTTTACTGAATATTTCAATTTCTCTGGGTGTTGGGGTGAAATTTCAAATGCATAATACAGTGTGGAGTTTCGCGTGGCATTAAGAGCATGGAAAACTCAAAGTTTTGCTTGCATTTATAGCGTACACCGATGGATTTGCCTTATGCTGGTTATAGGTTGGCACAACGCTGGGCAAGTGTCGGGGCTTGTGTGTGAATGGGGAGCAGCTCGGGATATGGCGATTGTCACGCGAAACACGCGTGCTTTCAGGAAATTACTGAGTTTCCGAGACGGCTGTGCCCATACGGCTTTTCTACCTTTACAACTCCGGACTACCAACAAGACGTATCAATATCTTGGAAATCACTTCGGTTGTTACCAAATTGAGGCACAGAAACTTTTTAATGGCTCCAAATGCCGACTATTCACTTCTGCCTCCGACTTTCAACAAATTCCGTTGAGTTATTTTCACAGGCTACTTGTGATTTTCCATTGATTGTCACAGAGGCTAATAAACTCGCGAATTTATTCCACTGGATTTCAAGTCTTCAAACATCTCGACTTGTGAAAATTTGAATTTATATTGAATCATGCCCCCACTTTGAAAACAACTGGCATTTCAGTTATCGAAAGTGCACTTATTAAATTGAAATTTTATTTAGAAAATTTTCGAATGATTCTCTTAAATCAAAATTTAGGAGTTAAAACAACAATTAATTGCTCCTTTATTCCACCGATTTTGCAATGGAAATTTGAATTTTTCCGATCACCTCGAAGATTAATAAAAATAAAAAGTTATTAAAATTTCTCATTTATCTTGAAAACGAAAAAATATTTTTATATATTTATTTTTTATAGATTTCAACGATAAATAGTAATAAATATTCCGTTCAATAAAATCTGAAATTTTCAAGATTTTGGAAGTTTTGACTGAATAAGAAAATTTTGTGTTGCAGATTTGTGAGGGGTAGAAGGGAAAAGGAGGTCCGATTAATTTAGCAGCACTGATACCAGTGAAGAACGAGTGGACACGGGTATGAGACACCAGTGGAGTAGATGGAATTCCCATTGGCGTGTCTATTAAAAGTGGTAGTGCGCGGCGTCGAATGTCGAATGCGACGGACGTGATACGGATATGTGAGTGGATGCACTAGGAGTAGAAAGACGGGCTCTCGCATATCGAAAACGTGTGCATACCTGGGGTACATTCGTTCCTTCTTTTGTCCGGGTGTCTCCGTGCCATTCGCAGATTCATCCGCATCTCCGGTAGAACAGAGGAGGCCACCGGGGTTGATTTATCTCACCCTCAATGAATTTAATTGGAGATGTCCAAGTTCCGATGGAGAATTGTCCTAAAGCACCAGAAGATGATGGTGTCCACCCTAGCCCACATCAGCATCCCTCTCAATCATGAAAACTTGCTGATAATCACTCGGGGCTGGAAGGGAGTCTATCACTCCCACACTATAAATTTCACATCGTAAAAAGCTTTAATGAAACAACTAATGGCAGAACTCATTAATTTTCTACGCACACCAATTTATATTTTCACTTCAAATAAATCAAACTAAAATTCTAAAATCGTGTTCTACTTTCATGGGAGTTGATTTTGAACTTGTGGGGGGATTTGAGAAATGTAGAGTGAAATTGTTTATGGAGATTGTTGTGTCGATGGACGGATTTTAATTTTAGTGGTTGATCTAATTTGTTTATTCATAATCTATGCGTATGGGTTGAGGGGGCGAGTGTGAGGTGTAATAAACGTCACGATGACGGAAAGAGTGAATGCGAGTGATGTAGAGGAACGTATTTGCCTGCTACCGGAAGAACTTGAGATCCTGGAGGATCCCAGAACAGCTTCCCTCAAACGGGTTTGCTACGGTATTGTGCTGCCGGCCATCTGTTGCTTGGGTATCATCGGAAATATACTCAATCTCGTTGTTCTCACCCGTAGAAATATGCGAGGAATTGCTTACATCTACATGAGAGGTGAGTTATCCGTTTTTCACTCGGGATAATCTAAGGACAATGCGCTTTATATTGCTCATATATTCTCATTTTCAGGTTTTTTAAATAAATTTCTTGCGAAACCTTTGATTAAACTTACGTCAGTAAATATAACGTTTTTGATTTTTATTATTATTTATGTGAGCTGCAAAATTTTTATCAGTCGTTTCTCAGAAATTCGTAAAGAACTTTAAAAAATCGAAGATGTTGACAATGAGACTTTAAATAATAGGAAAAAAATATATTTACCAGTAAATTTGAACTGGAATTTGTCAATTGGTATTCACACAGCCAAATGGCGATGTCATTTTTTTTTTTTGGATTTATCGTATTTACAGGGAGTTGCTATAAATTCGCGGATATTACATTGTGGATTCCGAAATTCGTCTTGAGTAGTCACTTTGAATGAGCGGCTCGAATGCCGTAAAAATAAAATAGGTAAATTGAAAAGAGTGAAAAAATAGGGGTTTATATTGTAAAGGGGTTGAAGGTCATAAATAAGTTTAACACGCAGACCATCAGGATGAGATAGGAGTAATTTGCACGCGTCGGAACATAGCCAGGGTTGTTCCAGGTAATTGGTTGGAGTGCTCGTAGATTTTCACTGCTCCCTTTCCCCCGAAAGCTCCCGTTCTCACCGCAGTTTACCACCAAAAACGGGTATATTGGGCCTAAAATGTACGAAATGGCCATCATGCAATCAACCAACTTTCGATTAACAACTCCATATCATCATCCCACAAATTTATAACCGTTATGAATTCGTTCTTCACCTCTCAACTCATCCACACCCCACCGAGTGAGTAATATTATTCCATGTTTACGTAATATCACTGATAAAATAGAATCGATACTTTTATCTGTGCGTGTGGAATTGTGTCATCCTGAAGAATTTTCTCTGGATAGACACCTGAGTGAATTGCTGCTCTCAATTTTCTTCTCTCTATCAAATCCACGACTAAAATTATCCCATTCCCTTTGAGCCACAGCATAAAAAAAATATCAAAAGAACATCTCACATGTATTATTAATTACCCCATGTATGTAATATGCAGTATGCATTATGCAATTGATGAAAGTACAATTAAAGAAAATTCGGAATTACGAAGGAAAAACGGGAAAAAATAAGAAAGAATAACAGCAATAAAATCGCCCTGGCAATCTCGTGGTTAATCCCGTTTTAATCTCGTCCGACCCAATTAACGTTGGGGAGAAAAATAAATGTAGAAACAAATAGGGGGAGATAAAAAAGCAGATGGCAATTGCCACTTGACAGGAATACCCATTTTCCCTCCTCAAGGATCTCCCAGTGGGAGACACCTTCTGCACGTTGATGGTTGATTTTTTCCCTTCTCAATTTTTCTTTTGAAAGCGAGACGTTTTTGCAGACTCTGGAATTAACGAGGATTATCGGGGGTGGTCGCACCCAGTGTGGGGTAATAAACCCTCAATCTAGTACACCGCGCGGTGAAAAGACTCAGGGTGAATTCCTTGATGTAAACAACACGAAAAGACGTAATACATTGAGCTTTGATGTATCAAAAAGAAAGAAAATAGAGAGAAATGAGAAAAAAATGGGGTTTGGACGGAGAGGGTGGATGGGAGGAATTCCAATGGAACGTTATGCATTTCAAACTAACATGAAATGCATGGGACATTGAGGCAGTGCAATATCTCGCGCCGAATATGAGAGAGAGTGCAGCAAGAGACAGACCGATTTCTCTTCTGAATATCAAACAGATCCTCCGTTTCTCTCCTTTTCTCGGATGTACCGAGCAGAAAGGACCTGGAGAAAGGAGAAATAAAACCCAGAGGGACGCCATGTATGCTGTACCGGAATACTGAGGAATATATCATTATTTACGCGTCTACAAAGTGATTTTCAAAAATTTCATGTTTAACTCAGAAAATCAAACATTACGAAATCCTCACATTTCACGAAATTTGTCAAGTTGTTTTTCGGGATGATGGGGTAAAGAGGTGGAAGGAAATTAGAGAGGTGCTATTCAAGTGAGAAGATAAATATTCTCTTGGATGGTGGAGTGGTGACCGCTCTAAATTTTATTCAATGATAATATTACCCCTCAAAATATTCCACGATAAAATTACTAGTCAAGACATTATAATGTAGATATATTACTTCGTAAAAATACTAGCCCGAAAGATATTACTAGTCGAGATATCGCGAAATCATTATATTTGTTTTAAAAATAATACCAATTAAAGGATTATCATTTTAATTGTTTATTATTTATTTGTTTAGTGTTATACTGGAAAAATATTTTTGCTCTCAATTATTTTCCAAGCGATATCCCTAATCGATTGTTTAAAAGTCGATTGTTGTGATTTACCCGGGGGACTTGGGGATTACTTTTGTTTAATATTTTTTTATGATTTTTTGCGATATTTCGAGTTTTGTTATTTTGGGAGGTACTCGAAGTGGGAAAGGTGGAGTGGTATGAAAATTTCGTTGGTTTACCATAGGTACATCCGAGATATTTGCTTATGTACAAATGCTGTAGAGGCCTCACGCAGGAATAAACCAGTGAGTGTATGAATGTGTAAGGTAAAAGTTACTCGGAGTGATGATGGTGTACAAATGTAGATGGCTGATACATTATGAATGGAAAAGGGATGAGAATCTTGTTTGAATCGTATAAACCATTTATCTTACACTTCTCGGGGAAGTGGTACATGAGTGAATAGTTGATTGAGTCGGAGCTAGTTTCGGGGTTGTTTGCATGTCTTCTGGGTTATCCAGAATGAGTGATAAAGTGAAAGAAATAACTGTAAATAGCAACGCACGTCAACTTCAAATGCTTTCATGCATTCATTGTAAAATCAAAATAATTACTGAAATAACGAATTAAATTCCTAAATAAATAACCAATAAATGAACAATCATGTTGGATTGTTTATTTATTAAATATATTAAGGAATTAATGCCCGAAGGTAAAGAAGAAAGGGCGGATTTTATGGTTGTAGAATTTGTAAAAAAATTGTCGAGTAATTGATTGATTGATTATGATATGTTGATGGCGGAGATGTCAGTGGTTTTAGGCGTGCTTAGGTCAGACGGTATTTCTCGGTCAATCCTTTTTTCACATAATTTTCGTACTCCCTCCCTTCAAAAATTCTCCTTTTTGTCTATCCCTCTTGTAAATACAATTTATTACCTCCTGGGGAGGCAAAGCGCACTGAGAATCGTGATTTATAACCGTTGGCTGAATTCCGATATTGTTTCTTGCATTTTCGCCGTAAGATTTACGGCCTCCTGATGCCTCCTGAATATTGCACACACCGTGCAGACCCTTCCAACACTTTTCCCGGAATGATTTTAATCACAATCATGGAGCTTTTGAGCCGTGCAAATTGATTCTGCTGGTGCGGATGCTCGTAAACAATCGCAACTTTTTTATCGGACGATGCGAATTCCCATTGGATTTCGGTTTTCCCACATTTTACCGGCCACTTCCGTCATTATTTAAAGGGAAATTAACCGGTGAATTTGATATTTGTCTTTTCAGTGGCTCCGATAAATTGTCAATTATCCATAATTATTGTCGTTATTTTTATTGATTTTAACATTTATTCACTTCCAAATGTCAGGAAATTTTGTTCGTAAATTAAATCGTTCTTTCCAAAAATAAAAAATAACTTCATATTTTTTTCAGAGAATTATCAATACAGTGACTTCATCAATGGAATAATAAGTATGAATTTTCCATTTCCATGAAATTATTGAGTAAAAATGCAGAGAAATGGCGGCAATAATGCGCACGAATTTCCGCGATTTGAGCGTGAATAGGCTAGAGAATAAAAAACATTATCCATAATCTCCTTATTATCATGTTGCGGTGCATGAGTATATGTATTAAAGTGTTCAGGGGGTAAATACTGGTATATTTAACGTGCAACTCTCCTTATCGTTCACGGTATTCCTATTATCCAATGCATTTCCTGGGGTAAAACCACCAGAGAATTCACGGAGATCGCAATCCCCAGGAGTACAGTATTATAGGTGGCCGAACAAAGTGTACCCTCCACTCTCAGCATAAAGTTCATAGGACACGTGCCGGTATGATAGTTTCTCTATGAATCTTATCAATATTCATGGTATTTTACCCACGACTCCTCCATACTGAAAATAATATGGAAGACCTGCGAGACGAGTGGATAAAAAAAATTATGATAATAATCCAATTTAGGGTTTTCAGAGTTTATACAGATTACTCATGAAATTAGCTGTTTTATTATCGTTGAATATTTCAGTGACACAAGTTTTGTGATATTGGTAATTACACAGGGGAGCCCTTGCGTGACTGTCTTTGGGTGCCTTGGACCTTTAACCGAGGAGATGTAACCTACAAACCCTTTGGATAGCCCTCGCCCTGTCTCTATTAGCGTTGACCCAGTGGTGCCTATCAATATTCATCGAGTTCAAAGCGCGTTGTCCTGGTCAATCAGCTGTTAATTTTCTGTCCCAGGAAGTTGGAGGAACCAGTGGAAATTAACTCCGTTAAATTGGATATGTTATTCTTGATATTCCTCACACCGATTTTATTTTTTAACAATCATTTTTCTGGTGCAGATGAAAATTCAGATTTCAGATCTAGATGCATTCCTCGATGAGAAAATTAATTACTAGAATTATATACTGTAAATGGAGTAGCAGATACAGATCAATTTTTTTTAGGGTTCTTACACGTTGAAAATTATTCAGTCAAAATTATGGAATAATTAACGTATTATTTTTATATTCTGTTCCGAAAAATTTATCTATTTTTCTTTCAGCGTACACTTTTCAGTGGCCGAATTCTGGAAGATCTAAGAAGTGTAAACCCCTCGAATTTCAAGGAAACGAATTGAAAAGTCATGTGACTAGATCGTTATTAAAAATTTCACCTGAATTTAATCAGCAATACCTATAATTGGCGTCGGATATCACTCTCATTGCCATAGAAAAACAATAGTGTCTGAGG